AGTTTTGAATATAGATTTTTTTTAATTAACATAGTACGGAGTAACATATTTTATCATAAAATACTCCCCCTGTCCCTTAATTAGATATCTACTTCTAAAATTACACGGAAATTAAGATTCTTGGAATATCCTTAAAACTCATGATTGAGTGGGTAGTAACGTACAAAGGGGATAAATAGACATTTATTGCTACAATTTGAATAAATCAAAAATGAAATTAAATGCTTGCACATGTCAGCAATTCTTTAAGAAAAATAAAAATCTATGATATTTGTTTATGAAAAATAAAAGGATCAATCAAATTCATTTGATGTGCTATACATGGATTGCAATTGTTCAAATGGGGGAATGAGGAGGAGAGAGAATAAAATGTTTCTGTGCAACCATTAAATGCCAAAAGCAAAAGTAATTAAAGTAGTGCCACATCACACTGATTTGGAGACAATTTGGAGACATTTTGGAGAATAAATTTGGGGAATAAGAATAATTTGTTAAAAAATTACTTATTAAAAAAGGAAATACATCTAATTTTGAAACCTTAAGAGGAAACCAGACATCTAATAAGGGATGGAGGGAGTATGTTGTTACTCGTTAGATAGGTAATGAACTAATGATATATAGGGAAAAAAATATTGATTTAAAATTTCATACATTCTCCATGTTTTAATAAGTGTTACAGTTTGCCTGGTACATAATTTTTGACAATTTAATTGACTTAAATAAAATAAGAGGTAAGTGAGAGAGTTAGAATATTAAAAAATTATAAGAAAAATATGGTGGAGTTAATAATTTATTGAAAAGTTTGCATAAATTTTTTTTATTAAAAAGTAATGAATGTGAGAGGAAAAATATCTTTAACTAATATATTTCGTCCTTAATGTGTTAAAAAAGAGTGAGAGGAAAATATAATTAAAAAAAAAGAGTAGTAGTTGGTTTAGGTGGGGATTATGAGAAAAGAAGGATATAATATTTAATGTATTGTTTTGCTAAAAAAAAGTGTAACACTTATTAAAATACAATCGAATTTAAGGCATGTTTTCTTCAGTTTAAGTTTCGTTCAGTTCCAATCAGTTCAATTCAGTTTCTAATTTCCTTCTCTCATAAACAAATCATTTCAGCTCTGTTTAGTTCAGTTCAGTTGAGCTCAACTCAGTAAATCAAAACAGGTCCTTAGTAAGTGTAACACTTATTAAAACACGGAGGGAGTAATATAGCATTTTCTTTTTTAATTTTCAATACTCTGTAATATTTAGGCCCTATTTCAGTAAAAATAATTTCAGCAGCAAAAATAATTTCAATTTTAAACAAGAAATATAAAAGAGAATCAGTAAAAATAATTTCAGTTCAGTAAAAATAATTTCATTTTAACAAAAATAAAGTCAACCGAACGGAGCCTTATTCACGTAAAATTAAGATCAAATTAATGTTTAGACATGTACTCCCTCTGTCTTCTTTTGATATATTCCCTTATGGACATTTTTCACGGGAATTAATAAAAACAAATAAGAATAATTAAAGTACATTGAAAAATTAATAAAAATACACAAAAACCAAAATTTACATAGAAAAATTAAATTTGCACAAATATTATTGTAAATTAGAGGAAATTTTGGTAAAAATATAATATTAATATTTGTTGGAAAAAACAAATGAGGTGATCATTTTGACATTAAAATTTGTCGGACTATCAAAAGGGACGAAAGGAGCGTGTAAACTTCAGTTGTAATAATGTATTAGGTCTTGGGATACGAGGGGAATTTGGAAAGAGTCGGATCTCTTGATGAGGGGGTGTGCGTGGAAAATTGGTTCCGGTAACTTTTTTCCGGTAAACTAAATCTCTCCGAGGTTTATTCATTTCTTCATATGATAAGTATTCAATCAATTTACATATCTAGGGTTTTTCGGTTTTTCCAATTAAACCCTACTACACTACTCTTTCTCCATGATTTTAGTTTTTTTTTTTCCACTTTTCGTTTTCATTTCTACTAGTAATTTGAATATACTTTGATTATTTGCTATTCTTCTGAAACAGTGATTAAGGTTGAGTTGAGTCTGCATTTCAGCTGCTCAAATGGCGGATGAAGCAAGCAAAACAGTATGTTAATGCTTAAATTTTAGCGAATTTTAGTATATTTTTTAAAAATTGAAGAAAATGTTAGCCTAATTTATGTAATATGTGAATTATACAGGGTATTGCTGATTTGAGATTTATATGTGAACAATATGATTGAGACTACTTCAAAATTGAAGCAGGTTAGCTCCCCTTACTATGTATAATGACATTGTTTATCTCGAATTTTGCTGCCTTGTTCTTATCATGGTTTATTGTTTCATTTGCTACTTAATTGCATTCGTGTCGAGGTAGATTTTATGAAAAAATGAATATTGCCATGATGTTATGGATTTTTCCTCTGGAAAGAAAAGATTGGTTTTATGTTATTTTAATGGTTTTTATCTTCAAATAATATGTATATTCGATATTCATTTCAATAATCGTACTAGTAGAAAAAGACGAACAGATTTGAATGAAAGAAGAACATGAAAAATTGAGATGTGGCTGGATGCATTTATGTTATATTTGTGCTTAAGTAGAGCTTTTAGCTCCTAAGTGAGCAAAATGCTGTTTGTATCTATTTCTTTCATTGGAAGATTTGGAGCTATGTTATAGACATGTTACTGTTGTTTAATGATTGAATTAGTTATTTGACTATGTGGAATTGGAATTTGTATCTATGCTCAGGCATAATGGTTGGAATTAGGTTATTAGTAGTTTGATTAATATTGGTAGTCAAAATTAGAAAAAGAAGGGGTTCACCCTTTCCGCCGCGTTTATCCAGTGCACAAGGATTTAGGAAGGAGTTATAGTGGAGTATTGTAGATTTATAATAATAATAAAAAATAAAAAATAAATGAAGAGGAAGGTAATGGGATAGTTTATTGTTTTGAGGAAGAGAGAAAAATGTAAGGGTTGGAGGGGTTTTGTTGATTAAAAGTAATTATATAGATTAATATATGATGGGTCCGACTGAATAAATAGTGAGACTTTTATTTTGGGAAAATGAAGCTTATTTAAGGACAAGTGGAGTAGAGATATTCAAAAGCTTGATGTTACCACTCCTTAGAGGCTTGCTTCCCAAAGGTCAAGTGCATAGGTCTTCAGATGATTTAGGAATTGTGACGGCTTCATTCCCTTTGTAGATTGTATTTCATAATTTTTTTTCCCTCCAAAATTTTATAAAGATGATTAGGTTATTTAAAGAACTTAGATCCATTATTGTTGTGTAAATGGTATGGACATCCTGAACTCCCTTATATATTTTATTTGGTAGAGTCTCAGTCAAGGGTGAAAAAAGAATTTCAGTGGGTCATTTCCAAGAAGATCGCCTGACATGGCACACCTCTGGGCCCTCTAACCTAGCATGCTAAATTTGGACTTTAAATTGCATACAGTGGTAAACTGGTAATAGTACCTGTTACAAAGCTTCTACAGTGTTTTATGCTGTCTGTCCATTAGCTAATGCAACCCTTGCACCAGGGCTTGGCATTAGCCATGCCAAGCGAAGACTGGCAGAATAGTGTTAGAATCCAACTCTCTTTGAATGTATTTGAAGCTGTCTATGCATTTTACTTTTCTAGGCCTTAGAATAAATTATTATTTGGGAAAACAATGTAATTCCAAAAAGAAGCTCTGTAGGAGGCAATGATTAATAATATCTGAGCTTCCTACCCATTGCCTATAGCTTTATTACTTGTGTGTTGTTGTAGACATTTATAAAAATTATGCTGCCACATGTATAAAACACCCAAAAACAAATAAAATCTCTAGAGACCCTCAAAATAGACAAAATTTGTTGTCGAACCCGCTTTTGCCTTGCTGGACTGTCACAAGCCCCGATCAACCCCCCTTGACTCCACTCTTGTTGCCAACCGGCCAGAGTGCCCATCAAACTCGTCTATAGAATGTATTGCTTCATAATTACAAGCCATTTCCGCATTTGGTTTGTGCCCTCGTTGCCAATAGACTAGAGGGAGTGCTACACAGATCCAGTGTCATAACACTTGACCGTGACACATAGGTAGATATGTGAAGCAATCTACATATCCTATCACTCATCCTGTTACTCTCCAAAAACATGTTGTGAGGAATGAGGAACTTGTTTAGTGTGATATGTTCATTGGTACATGTCTCCTATAGTCTGATGTTAGCACTATAACTTGTGACTCATCTTAAGTGCTCCCTATCAAAATTTTCCCCTCTAGTACATTAGTTTCATGGGCTGCAATTTGTCTTTATGCTTTTGTATAGTTAAATGTAACCATGTGTCGATGTTCTATGATCTATGTAGGTGCAAAACCAAATACGATCTAAAGAAATAGCAAAGAAGCATTCTTACTTAACCTTGGAGGAGTTCCGACAAGTGCATTATGACACGAATACATACAAATTAATTGGTAAGTTCAATATTAGTATAAGTTCTTGATACATGAGTTGAACCACATGTCTGTAATTTTTGGGGTGTGGTGCAGTTTGGGACCTATGTTCAATTGATATGTGACTGCTGTATTGTTGGTTGATTGTTTACCTTATAGATTTTTGTACTTATTGGTGTTTTTGTTTCCTTTGTTATGCAGGACGAATGTGAGTGTCCTCCTTGGCTTACAGAATATATGGCTGTAAATCCTCAACCATATTTTGCCAAAATCGGTCTTGATGGATGAACAGGAACCAAAGTTCAAGTATAGTGAGACTGCAATATCTTCTTTACAGGTTTTTATACTTATAAATTTGTTTGTTTTCTACCTTCTCCATTTGTCTTTCACTTGTTTGGTTTTCAGTTTATCGCTTTTCAAATCTTTGATTAGTGTCGTATTAACAAGACCACCTAGCAATATTTCAGAAATATATCCCAATTTCAGTTGTATGTGTTCATTTATAGAGATTACTATGTTGCTGGGAGATTTTAACTTGATGCGTTGTCTTTATATTTGGTGTTAGACTTCTAAAGAGTACCTGGAGAAGATGGGGAGAAGTGGAAAACAACCTGAAGGGGAGCTACTGTTTCAAGATCCTGGGCGCGCCAGGCAAATCATGTCCCTTTCAATAATGTAAATCTCACTCTAGAAAATCATCTTTTTACCCTGTTTTTCTTTTCTAAATTCTTTTGGTTTTGAATTGCTTAATTGGGTTCCATGATAACACACTATAGAAAAGCTCTTCTTATAGGTCTTTAGTACCTAACACACTATAATTTGAGTGATTTTCATAGAAAATGCTTAAAGAGATCAAAATTTCATAAATGCGTCACTTTTTGACTAAATTTTCTACCTACCGTCCATGTAAACATCTATAAATATGAATTAATTTTTTCCTGGTTCACAATAAAACCGCTTATTGAATTAGTGGTTTATATAGCAGTTCATTAAATTATAAACCGCTGATTCAATCAGTGGTTTCACACTTTTTAATTATGAAAAATCATGGATTATTTAGCTGACGTGGACGTTATGTAGGGAATTTAGTTAAAAAGCAGCATAATTGTGGAATTGTGGTTTGTTTAAGTAATTTTCATGGTAATTGCTCCTATATTTTCACAAATTGCCCTTAAAATAAGTGAAAATTGTAATTTGGCTCGACTTTTGGAAGTTACTTTTTAGAAGTTACCTCAGTAACCTTACACATTGACAAAGATTAGTCAACTAGAGCATAAAATTCGATTATTGCCAACTAAGGATGATTTATTGATTTGCTTCTACATCGTGTGATGTTTAGCAGCAATACACTATAGATACTAATAGCTTGTGACCAATCTCTCTTGGAGTTCCAGTGAGTGTTGGCTATTGTATGGCAGATCTTTGTGCTTGTGCACGACGATATTCACTAAGAACCCATATGGGGAAAGTACACCTGTATGATGAAAATTCGGTTATGCAGTTCTTCATGAATACTCCAGTGGTTTCCTGTATAAAGTTACCATAGCTGTTAGATTTCATGGATAAGAAGTAAAACTGTGTACTGTGACTAAGTTAAATGAGAGTCTCGGTTTGTAACTTTAAATTCATGTTGCCAAGGAAAATTCTTGTATAGAGACTATAGAGGAACAGTCTACTTACTCTTACCAAGAAGAATAGCCTTAGTCCTTGGATAAAAGAAGTTTCTCCTTGGAACAATTTTTACATTATTATATTGATAAGTGATACTCTTTCTGTCCCTAGATAGTATCATTTACTACAATTTTGTGTTTTTAAAAGTCCCATTTTTTATCAGTATCAACTTTTTTATTCACCTTCAAATAACTGAACATCACTTTTTGTTTTAGTTTGCAATTAATCAACTTAACCGCATATCATTTTTTAAAATTACTCTTGAGTAAATGAGACTTTTATTTAGGAATGGATGACTTACACACCATCTCAAGATATAATATCCCGTTTTAATTTTTTTTTTTTAAAAAAAAATTATTGAATTAGATGTTTTGTCCAAAATAAAATCGCTGAATTAGAGGGTTTGTCTAAGGTAACTAATTGAATTAACTGTTCATTGAATAACATCGCTAATTGAATTAGCGGTTTATTGAATAAAGTCGATAATTGAATTAACTTTTATTTTTTATTCTTTTATTTTTATTTTTATTTTTATTTTTTACCATGGACAAAACTGCTATTCATTTAGCGGTTTACCTTTGTTGATTTCTTAAAAAAAAAAAACAAAGCATATTTTTGCTTATAGTAAACCAGTAATTTTATTAAACTAAAATCTGCTTAATCAGCACTTTACTTTTGCTAACTATTGATTGATTTGGTGGTTTTATGATTCTTTTTATTTATAAAAGAGTCCACTTAAAGGTGCATAATCATGGAACTTTGATATCGTCCGACTTTTTTTAATGAATTTGAAAATTGTTCCTTCATATAATAATACCTTATCTCTTGTTGTATTTTATTTCCTTTATGACAATCTTTTATTCATTAATAATCATCTCCTACCTCACCTCTTGGGGTCCTATTATACTTAATACAGTATATCTTTTGCTCTCTATCCTTTCCTAGAAGTAGGAAGTACCCACTAGCCCACTAGGTTGAGTACTCAAGAATCGGAGGTAATATTATTGAATATCAAAACTGATTTATTTTTAGAAGAAAACCTTGCAATTACCTGTGGTGGGAAGTCTCCATTTTCCAACTGTGAGTTGATTACCAACCTCATCCCTCGGTCTACGGGGTCGGGATCTACTTCCCACTGTTACATTGAGAACCATTTGGGTTAACCATAGTTTTAAGCTTGCTCGCATTTTTTAAGGTGCAATAGGAAATGTAGGATAGAATACAGTTATACGCAGTAACGCACCTGCCCTGCTCTAATGAGAGTTAACAATGCCCATGAAGTTTGCACCAGATTTGACTTGTTCCCTTTTAGGTTTGTATAAACCTGTTCCACAATCCCAAACCAAGGATTGATGCACAAATCTAAACTTTTAGAGAAAACTCAGACTGATGTTATTTCACTACAAGAGACGCGGCTTTTACCACCACAGGGGAGGGAGAGAGGGGAGTGGACTAGAGTACCTCTTTGGAGCTTGAGAGGTAGCTTTCGCCCCACCCGCCATTAGGCAATTGCTTTGAGAGTATAAACTCACATGCCTTTCGCACAGCCTGACTATTATGGTAGTTTTTATTACACCTTAGTAGTGCCTCCACTGCAAACCATGTTCCATAGGTAAAACAAATTCCCCAAAAACCATACCTATCCCCACAAAAACAAACCCAAAAGAAATCACTTTCAATTCCACAAGTGTATTTTCTCTCTTACGAAAATCACATTTCTTTTAAAAATCAGCATATTTACCAAGAACCATCAGGGTTTTGAGCCCTTTCAATGTATTGTATTCCTCTAGAGATGGAGTCTTCTATTTCTTTGGTCCTGTGATCTGGGTATTGCTCCTTGAAGAGTGTAAAAGCTTGTATTACTGAGGAAGTGCACTCAACATGCCTATAATAACAGTAAAAATCAAGAGTATATTCGTTAAATTAGAAGAGTTAAGTTCTGTTTGTTATTTTCTTAACCCTACAAGACTACAACTGATCGTCTTGGCCCGGTCTATGATCATCTCTAGTTAACTTCCATAGTATTAGGGGATTTCTTTTTTCTCTGAATGAACTACGATAGTATTAGTTGATAACGATGGATTATGGAGTATGAAAAAATTTAGCCTATAGAAGCTTACTCTCTTTCGATTAGAACATCATCGAAGAGCTCTGTTGGATTGAATTTCTAAGATTAATCTAAAGTTAAAACTTGATTATTAATTTTCGCAAAATAAGATAAAATTCAATTACATGTACATAAAACATTTTGCTAGTCAAAGTATGTGACAAAATTAGGACAGATGGAAGTATATAAATACATTGCACAGGTAGACGAGTTAGGGCCTGTTCTGATACAATTATTTTTAGTTCAGTTCAGTTCAGCTCTAATAAGTTAAGTTCAACTCAGTTCCTAATTTCTTTCTCTTATAAAATATTCAATTCAATTCAGTTAAGCTCTAATAAGTGCAGTTTAGCTCTAATAAATTAAGTTCAATTTAGCTCAGTCAGTCAATCAGAACAGGCCCTTAGTTATTAATTAACCAAAAGATTTATTCGAAAATTAAACCCCATAATTATTAAATTTCTTTCTTTTTTCTTTTTTATTTATTTTTTTTTTTTTATAATGTGTAATGAATTATTAACTTTTAACGCCAGTATACATATCAAATTGAAATTACTATGTTTCAATTTAGTAAAGGGAAATTCTCTCTCGTAATTACAAACTTTTATTTTTTCTCAGTGGTAAAAGCTAAAACTTTTGATTATCAATGGTAATCACGAAATAATATAACCAAGTCAATGGTAACTTTATTATATTATTTCGTGATTACCATTGATAATCAAAAGTTTCAAGCTTTACCACTCAGAAAAAATAAAAGTTTGTGGTTACCATAGAGAATTTCCCTTTAGTAAATTATTATTAAATTAGTATTGTAATTTACAAGTAGGCTAAATAAAAACCATCTACGCACGGAACTTAAGTTAGTTGCTTCAATATATCTTTATTGACTCTATAAATATACAACAATTTTTTGTATGTTGCTAGTATAACTATATTTGAAACTATCGAAACTTATGTAAGACTCTGTTCATTTCACCTTAAAAAAATAATATTAAGTAATAATAAAGGGCAAATACAAGTTTATTTGCCAAATAAACGAATTTTTGTTAATCAGATGACATTTTTGTAAATATATTGAAAAAGCATAGTCATTTATTCAGTACTTTTGGTGAGCTGTTCAATTACTATTTGCAACTTGCTTTTACAGTTTGGTAAGGAAATTACACATATACCCCTCAACTAGTACATGAAAAGACACATGTATCCCTCAACTAGTACTTGAAAAGACAATTATACCCCCAAATAATTGAGGAATTAATTGGGTATAGCTCAAAAATAATTTCAGTTCAGTAAAATTAATTTCATTTCAGTAAAAATAATTTCAATTCAATTCAGAATTCGGTTTTCTTAAAGAAGAATTATAATAGAAAATCAGTAAAAATAATTTCAGTTCAGCAAAAATAATTTAAGTTCAATAAAATTAATTAAAGTTCAGTACAAATAATTTAAGTTCAACAAATATAATTTTTTGTTTCAGTAAAAATAATCTTAGTTCAACAAAAATAAGGTGAAGTGAACGAGGTTTAATTATGTAAAGTTGGTATGATTTGGTCAATAAAAGTTAGTTACAACCTATTTTAAGAGACAAATAAAATGTAGCTCTACATAAGTGTGGATGTATAGAGTAGTTCGAGAACCTGGATGCATCGGTAAAGAATCAGGAAGTAGCCAAAGCTCTGGAGGCGTTGGGTTGCACCCATCCCATTTGTACACTCCAAGCACCTATAGTAATCGGTCCAAAGCCAAAAGAAACGCCAGCTTCTTACAAGTTTTTGTGTTACTCGAGATAAAAAGATTATGCAACAAACTGTCGGATAGTAGTACAAGTATATTTCATGATCCGTAGACTATAGCGGCATATATAGCGCCACACATTTAACTCTTTGGTAGTCATTTTGGTTGCTTTCTATGATCTTTTAATGATCATATTCTTTTGAACCCATTTTAACGCTCTTTAGGTCAGCCGTTTAAGGAACATAACATGAAAGCGTATTCAAAATAACTCACATGCATGTTTTTCTTCAAAAAATAGAAAAAGAACTCACATGTTATGAACTTATGAACGTCATTTGTAACGAAAGCATGTTTATAATATATATGGTGCTCACGTTGTACATAAATTCTTGTCAAAAAAAAAAAGTAGAAGGCTTAAATTTGGTAGTATTCTAGCTAGCTAGCTACTTTCAATCAAACAAAAAAAACACATAGTAAAGAAGGAGATTAGTATGAACAAACCGAGAGCCAAAATTTTCCCCAAGATGGAATGCTCGTAGCACCACCATGGTCAAGGATCCATTGACGACCCCTTGCAACCGCGTTATCTTCACCATCATCAGGGCCTTCTCCCAACAACCTTAGGGCAATGTAACTAATTGCTGAACCAAACATGGTACTATGGCTATCTATGTGGAACCCCCATCCTCCGTCTTCATTCTGCAATATATTTCGGAAAAAAAAAATTGTACTTTGTATTAAATAGGCAGAAAATAGGACAATTTATAAAATGTTATCGGGAAAAAGAAAAACAAAGGATAATATACAAATTCTTAAATGGACCTATTTCACACTAATTTATTGTGGACCACTAAAATTAGAGAAAGTATGGTTGTTTTATTAACAAAAAAAAGGGTCACTATAATTTTAAAAAAGGTCAATATGTTGAAATAAAAATCATTTTGGTAATATATAGGCCTAAGTGGTTACAAAAAAAAGGGTCACTATATATTACCAAAATGATTTTTATATTAACCACTTAGGCCTATATATTACCTTTGTATGGAATACTCTTTGTGTGAATTTGATGCATAATACTATAACTTTCATTCATGGAATCTACTCGATCAATAAAAAGTTAAAAATAATAATAAAAAAAAAAGAGTTAAAGAGCTAATAAAAGTATAAAATGCAAGCGGCTATTCAAACCGGTTAATATAAGTTGTTATATCAACACTACTCCCTCTGATCCATTTTTAATATTTTGCTCTGTTTGACTTTTTACGATTTTCAAGACGCATCTTAAAACTAGTTTATCTCCATTTTGATAGGCATTAAAATTACGGATTATAAAAACTAGATACTCAATTAAATTTAAAATGAGACGAATCCAACAAAATCTCACATGACTATATTATTCTGTATAAATTAGTATTTTATGGCAAAAGGTTTTGAAGTCTGACCCATAATCTTGTAATGGGGCAAAAAAACTGGGAATAAAGGGAATAGCTACTTCCTCCGTGTTTTAATAAGTGTTACACTTACCAAATTCGGACGCGTCTCAATGCATTTAATCATATACTTCCCCTGATTCTATGCACCAAAAAATATATTTCGCATTACTCGCAACAAAGACGAGTTTTGCGAACTCCTAGAAAAAGGCATATATAGTTATGAAAAATATATAAGAGCATATACTTAATAAGGGTATATACTTTAGTTAGCTATCCAACGCCACCGAGGCGTTCGTTAACTTTTGCCATCTTTTATTTATGTACAAAATTTATTTCTTATATAGATACTTTGTATTTAAATAAAAAAAATAAAATAAACTAAGGGACACACCAGAAAATGACATGTGTCAATACTGTTGTGTCTTTTAGTATATAAGTTATTGATAATTATTGATGATTGATTAGAAAAGTCATCGTGTTAGTGTATATGAGTACTTCCTCTAATATCTATTTTTACTAATGCATAAAACACAAATGTTTTTATATAAAATGTTGTGAGATTAGTATTAATATATATGCAGGTCTATTATATTACATTAATTTTTTCCTCTAATCCAAAGATAAATTACTGTGAAACCCGTGCATCAGCGTGGGTGCTAACCTAGTGAGCTATTATATATAGCCTTTATATTTTAAACATTTATTTTGGTATATAATTTTTTATTTTACAAATATGGTTTAATTTTATATTCTAGTTATTAATATAATACAATGATCAAATTTTAAAGTACTCTATATGCTCAAAATATTACCTTTCTATGTAATTCGTGTCTATCAAAACTTCATCAGTTAAAGGAGTTTTTAAGAATAATAATAAGTTACTCATTCAAAAAAAAAAAAAAATCCTTATGATCTATATCATTAAAGTATGAGTATATATTTATTTTATAATCTAATATATATATGAATAAAGTAGGCATTTTTGGAGAGCATTGAGAGAGCCACATAAGAAAAGGTATATTTTCGACCAATGAAAAATTAGATTAATAATTTATTTAAGAATTAAAAAAATCACTCGTGTTGTAAGGTTTTGATGATTGTGAACAAATGATGCTTATCTAACTAACATGTGTATTGAGATGTGCATGAACAAGTCATGAAGCAAGAAGATGATTGAGTACAGGTTAGATCATTATTGAAGATGGTTCCAACATACAATGTATGGATCGTGCTTAAGTTCCTCAGGGGGAACACAAAGAGAAGAAGAGTTTCCAAGGGGGAACACAAAGAGAAGAAGTCTAAACGTACAAACGTATTGTTAGACTTTGTATGCAGTTCCTAAGAAGAATGAGAAGTAGTTCTTTGCAAGGAATAAACAGCAATTCGTATGTGAGAACAAGAGAAGAGAAGTTCCTTTAAAGGAACATAAGCTTTGGAGTAGAAGCTTCAAGACAGAAAAATAGGAGTATATTTTTCTAGGAATCATGTAAGTATGTTGGACACGAGAAATTGTTTGGAACATGCCTATGGAACTAAATTGGAACTTCAGTCTCGAAGGAACTGACAGTCTGGAAGGAACTGGGTGTTGCTGACCAGCCAGTTCCTTACGGGTGAGTCTAAAATTCGTGTATAAGAGAAACACACGTTTACACAGCACTAGAAGTCAGTTTTCCATGTTAGTAGTCATTGCATTATCTTTGCCTACTTTCTAGGTAATTAGTTTTGACTTGGTATAATTTATTTTAAATAGATTTTATTTTATAAAAGATAAGTTTTTAAAAAATAAAATCTGATTTTCTTTTTAGTCAAAACGATATTTTATTCTCTTTATTTTCTCCTATATTTTAGGGATATGTTTTAGGTTGTTTCCTATCTAATCTCTAATTGGTTTAATATTTCAAATTAAATAGGATAGTTATTTTGGGATAAAATATTTTTATAAAATATTTATTTTTAATGAATAAATTCCGAATCAGTTTTTAATTGATAAAAATCTGATTTGGTTAGTATTTTATTTTCTTGTATTTTCTATTTTTATTTATTAAGTTTTTGGAAAAATAAAAATTACTTTTCACGTTTAATTTGAAACAGCTTTTTACTGGAGAAAAATAAGGAGATCATGGAGAACATGTTTTTAACTCCAATCCATGTCTTCCATTACTTCTTATGTTCATGGAGTTAATGGAGATAATGCCTAGAATTTAGGAAGCACTACTATTATGGTTGAAGATCATGGGGTGAATGGGTTTGTCTTTGAAGCACTATAAAAAGAGAAGTTTTCATTCATTCCAAATTGTCTGGCTTAATTGAGTCATTCCATAATGGAGTTTATCCAAAGTGGTAGAGCAGTAGAAAAGAAATATATTTTCTCTCCACGTTGGTAAGCCAGTTCCTCCAGGTTCCAAGTTCCTTACATATCTCAAAGTGTCCAACATATTAGTTTTATACATTATATCTTTTATATGTATTTGAGAGTTGTTTAAAGGTTTGAGTGAACTCTTGTAATGGGGAATTAATAAGGGTTTGAGTGAACTCTTGTATTGGGGTGAGAACTTGAGTGAGTTCTTTGTATGTAGAGAAGGCTTTGTGTGAAGCTTGAGAGAAAGAGAAAGAGTAAGGTTTTGAGTGAAGTCTTGAGTGAGAAGAGAGATCTTTGAGGGAAGATTTCGAGCTGCAACTATTAGAGGGAATAGTTGTTGGGGATATGAGTTCGTTGAGGAACTCGGTAGAGGCTCAAGTTCCTCATAGGTTGTAACAGAGTCGTTGGCCTATTTTAGTGGAATGTTTTGAGTCAAAATCCCTTTGGGTCGAGGTTTTTCACTTCCTATTTGGCCTAGGAAGTTTTCCTCGTAAAATCTCTCTTGCACTATTTCTCTATTGCGTTAAGTTTCTTTTAATTCCGCAAAAAGTAACTAGCGATCTCCATACTACAATTCACCCCCCCTCTTGTAGTATTTCATCTAAATAACAACTCGCCACCTAAGCAAAAGCGACGAATAATATTTATGAATTTTGACACATACGAACAACGAATAGAGAATAATTAAAATTTAAATTATTTTAAAAAACCAATAATTATCTTCTCTTAAAAAAAAAAAAAAAAAAAAAAAAACTAAGTAATAATTATCTATATGGATGCAAATTTTTTATCGCAAATGTTTTTAATCTTTTCCTAGCAAATATTATAAAAATTTGATTTTAATAATGTACTCATCGACACGAATAAAACTAAATCTCATATTACTAATTTTCCATAATTTTTAATAGTCAAACGATTATAAATGAGAGTAACATTTTAAACAGATCAAGTATATTAAAATAAACACATAGGCAAAAGACTAAGACGAATAAAACTAAATCTTATCTGACTATTTTCCCATAATTTTTAATAGTTAAACAATTATAAATGAGACTACCATTTTAAACAGAACGAGTATATTAAATAAACACATAGGGAAAAGACTTTTTTTGATCAATAAAAAAAACTAGATTTGTCATTATTTTATGAATTAAAAATTTAAATTGTCACATAAGCAAAATTAGTAAATAAGGTTTGAGATTTTAAATTCAAGTGTCACATAAAATTAATAAAACAACAAAGGATAACTTTAGTGTTAAAATTAAAAAATTATCTTATGATATTAGAAATTTTATCCATATATTTAATGAATGATCTTCATAAATATACAAAATTTTAAATTAAATAAAATAATTTATTAATTTTCATAAATAAAGAAAGTTGAATACATGATTAATATAATTATGCACACGTACATAAAGTAGAAAGGGAACTAGGAAAAAAAAAAAAAGAGACCCTAAGAGACCTTGTCTGTTTCAATTTGAAACTGAACGCAACTGCAGTTGGTATGGGGTACAATCAATTTGTTATGGCTAAATCAAAAAGCCTGCCTATTTATAATAACAGGTCTCTTTGAATAGGTTTTTTTTTTTCTTTTTTCAGAGTGTTACCCCTTGTGTCTTCTTAGATCCGCCTATGGATGGGTTGGGCAAAGGGGAGAGAGAATGAAATATAATTACATTGTATTGATTCACAGCAATGGTCTTAGACAATCTTAGACAAATGTGTTCTCAACTTTTTATAAGAATTTTTAGTTTTTAAAATAGCTACGGAGTATTACTTTAAGGTTTTACCTGTATGCTTGAACAAGGTCAAAATTCTATGTGTTGTTTGATGAGATTTTGGCCCCTTTATATTAAGGGCATGTTCACATTTACTTAATTTCATATTAGTTCAGTTTAGTTCAGCTCCAATCAGTCCAGTTCATCTCCAATCAATTCTGTTCAGTTTAGTTTAGCTCCAATCATTTCAGTTCAGTTCAGTTCAGCTCCTAATTTCCCTCTCTCATAAAATATTCATTTCAGATCAGTTTAGTTTAGTTCAACTCTAATCAGTTCAGCTCATTTCAGTAAATGTGAACATACCCTAAATTTCTGGTTCCGCCATTGTTCTTAATAATATATAATTATAAATACTAATAGTTGAAGTGCATTGATAAATATGCAGATCAAAGTAACATATAAATATCAGTAAAATGTTATACATACGAAATGAAATAAGCAAGAGCGATAAATATCCTCCCCATCCATAATTTTTTAACTACGTAAATAAAAATGACTTACCAGAGGAGGCATGAAATAAAGTGGGCCAGCGTTATCAGAAGGCCAGTGACCATCATGGGCTTGAATACTGGTAAAGAAGTTGATGGCCTTCTTCTGTGTTATGGTCACTGCATCCTCTCCTATTACCTCTCTATCCTTCAACTTCACTCCTTTAGCCGTTTCCACATTTGCCTTTCCTTTTCTCAACTGTCCAAACATTTTGTTTAGAAATTTAATCAAAACAATCACATCACGTTATTTCGATTATATTCTTGACCCCGTCAAAAATTATAAACATATAATCTATACTCGTATATTGGAAATTGATATAACTTATACGTACATTGTATAATTTTTGGACGTAAAATAAATACAACTATTTTGTAAGTCAAATTGTTAAGTGTATATACCGAAAGTTAACTCATAAACTAAGGGTTAGTAGTCTAAAGAAAGAAAAAAAATATTAAACTACTTTGAGCTATAGGTTAACTAAGAAAGTGTAAAACACAAAAAAAAATGACCTCCATTCTCATTAGAAGATCAGCACTTTGCCTCATGTTGAAACGGTTCTCCTTGAACTCCTTCCTTGCCCTCTCAACCTCGGCCCGTTCCTCGGTTGTTCCAGCCTCCGGATCAAACTCCCAGTGTTGTGGTCACTGCTTCCTCTCCTAAAGCAGAAGCTGATTGTTGTAAGGATAGGCGGTGGATCATGGATGGCCAGAAGTTCATCTGATGCTCCTGTAAAGGTCTATTTTGCTTCAAGGAATGACATACGCTTAGTCGCTTAAGATATCTTCTATAAACAGTCCGAAATATGTTTCAAAGGATTTTTTTTTTTATCCTCATTGTCCAATGGGAAAATTACATTGTGACGTTTTTCAAGTGTCATATTAAGTCAGTTATGATGTCTTTGACTAATTTGTGTTTTGGCATTTTAAGTGTATATAATTGTTCTTTCCGGAGCCTACTCTGTGGAAGTTTTAGGTAATTAAGGATTTTCTTTCCCCTTCTTAAAAGAAATTTGTTTGTATTTTTTTATTTTGTTAGTATTTTTTGTTTTACATTATTCTCGAAGTTTTAGGTATGTTTTCCTTTTACCGAATACTTTTTTATTCACAATAAACTCCCTTCATTGACGTGCTTTAGTAATGTCAGTGAGAATAACTGAAAGCTTTGGGTCTATTTTTTTTTTTTTTTTTTGTTATGTGCTAAACTGCTAGCTATAAAATTATCAGAGGATTTGATTCTGAACTGAATTGGTTTATAAAGGTCTGCGGTCTGTTGTCTGTGGATCATAATATTGCGGACCTGTGGTATCATCAACTTATTCTCAAAGTTTTTTAAATTGTCACCTGGGACTCTATGCTTTTAAAAAAAGGCTAACAATCGTTTGTTTGAACATACATTAATTTGCTTGATGTAAATTTAAAGTAGAATGACTGGTTATAACAGAACACCATCTTAGCTTGATTGTTGTCTTTCTACTGCTTAAATTAATTCCTGAAAATTATCTTTCTTTAACTTTACCAGGATGGCTGTTGCTATGCTTGTCAAGAGACATGTTGATGGATTGCTACCTATTGATGTCTACAACATTGAGCTGGAGGATCAAAGAGGTGCTGAAGGTTAATATGGGTTTTTACAGATCAAAGGTATGTGTTTGCTTATAGCAAGCTACTGTATGCACCATTTGGAAGTCTCTCTTTAGTTTCAATTATCGAAAAGTAACTGTATGTGCAAAATTGCCTTATATTTTGTATATGACAGGGCAATAATGATGGGTCTTATGCTGCATATAGCCATATATACAGAAGGAAAGCAGTTAATGAAAACACAGCAATACAAAGTGGTATTAGAGATTTAGAGGTGCTTCAAATGGGAGAGGTTCAATGCAGGGAGTTTATTGTGAATAAGAAATTATTTTGTCAGACAATTTCAATTTCTTGTATAACTCTTTTCTGAATATGAAGTTTTTAACACGAGATCCATTGTGTTTTTTCAGAAGGTTTTTTTCTCTCTGTGCCTCGAAACTCATAGAGGTATTTGTCATTCCTTTGTTAATGATAATGTTTTTGGCTTATTTCAATAGTCGAGTCATTTTTGTCAGTATCATTGCATAAACTCCATTTAAAAAAAATATATGTATATTGTTAATGATGTGAAAGATAAATTGGCTACAACTTTTCTTGTTAATTGGTAAGTCTTGTCAGTTAAGTGTTTAGTTTTTAGTTCTATGATGCTTTCTTTATGTTCCAACCAGTGTTAGTGTTTTTGTTAATTAGTTTTTGGTAGGATTATCAAAATATCAATAAAAGATTGTGATGGTTTGTTATCTTTCTGAAATGGATGTAAAAAGTATCATGAATATCTTTTTTTTTTTTTTTTTCAAATTATGATAATTTCCGGTTGATGCATGTAATGTTAGATTCCAATTTCTTAGGAGGAACTCTGTATCTTTTTGAGTTAATAAGAGTCTAAAAAATTGGTTTTGATGTTCTGAAAATGTCTAGATATCTTAGTTGTGTGATATTTGATACCTCTAATTATAGAAGGTAATGGTTATACAATGATAAATTTTATATAAATAGGTACGGGGAAGGGGGAGGAGCGAAGGAGAGAGGGGGAAAGGGGGGAGAGAAGAGAGAGGTAATGATTATACAAGGATAAATTTTATATAAATAGGTACGTGGGAGGGGGGGAGAGAGAGGAGGAGAGAAGAGAGAGGTAATGGTTATCTACAGAATACAGCTACATGTTATCTCAACAGAGTAACTAACAAATCTTGGCACTTTACAAAATACAAGGGCTGAGAAAATGCATCAGTGAACATGATTGCTTTTATGTTCTTTGTTATACACTGGCCATTCTTGAGCTTCTGCCAGTGCTGTCAATAACTTTCTGCGAATATCACAAGTGTTGTCTGTGCTCGGTGGCTTTCTAGCTGATGCCTATCCCTTCTTTATCGAAGGAGACAGGAAAGGAACGTTTCCCCCCAAAACCCCCTCGGGGGATGTGGGGTGGTTGATATTGGACTATTGCAAATTTGCAACAAAGGCTCTGATCTCAATTGAATATATGCTCTAGCAATGATGAACTACAGCCAGCTCGGGTCGCAGTATGTCCTTTTTGCAGGATATTTTTACTCTTAGCTCCATGATGATTGTATTCTTTTCAATTTAGTCTAGCTAAAAGCCTAAAACATTAATAAATGTACATCTCTAAAGAGGTCCATGTCCTTTGGGGGGTGGGTTTTAGGTATAGACACATCTCTAAAGAGCTCCATTTGTGCTTTTATGGTTTTATTTATAGCCTCAGATAAGATGTTGACTTAATTTTTCCTCTAGCTATTTGGTTGAGCTCTTCTTTAGGCTGATATTCATGATTTGTCATTTTACAATTCGTTAAGGGCTTAGTGGATCAGTGAAGAATATACATTGTAGGCTGTATCTATTGATTGAATTGAAGAACATAGAAAATTTGGGAAGTTGGGTGTTAGATGTGTGTATTGGACGTATAGTTTGTCAAGTTTTATTTCCTGTTAGCAAAAACATACATCGTACTAATGTTTATTGGTCTGCAAGGTATGTTATGTATGCATTTTTTTTTTTTTTTTTTTTTTAACCACTAACATTGAGGACAATTTTGCAATGGCCATTGTAATATTTCTATTAAATCTTGACCATTTATTTAGTGGAAATTTATTTAAAAAAAATATATTTATTATATTATATTTAAAAAAAAAAAAAAAAAAAAAAAAAAAAACTAATCGGTTACATAGTATTCCTTTAACAATGCTCACCTCAATTATGTTAGAATTTAGGTGAGTGGAAGTAGTGGTGGGATAAAATTCTTACATTTGCATGACCAAGTGCTAGTATATATAGTGGTGTAGGTCGGTTTACATGGTCCTTCACCGACATACTACTCTACTCCTATCTACTAGCTTTCTCTGGATTTCTCTTAAGACACCAGGCTATTCTAGAAATATCTAGCTAATTGTAGATTCTACTAATTAGATTTTTCTAGATTACATTTTTAACAAATTCCTCCCATTGATGATTGATTTATGGTTTTTAGTATGATGATCTTGTTGATAGTTTAATATCCCATCTTGCTTATTGCTGATTTTGGTACTAATAAGAAGATGATTTTATTTTTATATGGGTGAAGAACTAAATTGAAGATGAATAATTATATATTGTGTACTTGTTCTTTCATTTTGACGAAAGAACTAATCACGCTAATCTGGCCTCTAGCCATATTAATCCATAATATTATAAAGAACAACTGAAAAAATTGATCTGATTTCATGACTATATGTTGACAACTATAAAAGGGAATTGAAATCTCAATTGTTTGAAGATACAGTAACAAAAACTATGAATTGTATATTTGTATGTATGGCCATCGGTAGTTTTTTTCAGAGATAATTAAGAGGAATTGAAAACAGTTTTTGAATATTACTTTTTTAGTATATAATTAATTTAAAAGTTAAATATAATAAATGTATAAGATTGGTCCTAGACATTTAAAGGGCTAAGATTAAATTTAATTACAATGATTCTTAACATCGATCAATAAATGTTTAATTCAATTATGTTTGGCAGGGTCCGGAAAGACGACTACATGTACAAAATATGCCCGTCATCATAAGAAAAATGGTTGGAAACCAGCTCTTATTTGTGCTGATACTTTTCGAGCCGGTGCTTTTGATCAGTTGAAGCAAAACGCAACTAAGGCTAAAATTCCCTTGTATGGAAGGTATGTATATTGAATTCTTTTAATTATGGTACTAGGGGGTTTTGTTTATTTAGTAATGATTATGCATTGACAAGTGGTGAAATTGGTAACAGTTACACGGAATTAGATCCCGTGAAAGTTGCAGTTGAAGGTGTGGAAAGGTTGAAAAAGGAAGTTTATGATCTGATTATAATTGATACAAGTGGACGACACAAACAAGAGGCTTCTCTATTCGAAGAAATGCGTCAGCTTGAACAGGCAACGAAACCAGATGTAGTGATATTTGTCATGGATAGTAGCATTGGTCAATCTGCATTTGACCAAGCACAAGCCTTTAAGCAAAGTGTTGATGTAGGAGCCGTGATTATTACTAAACTGGATGGTCACGCTAAGGGAGGTGGTGCTCTTAGTGCCGTGGCTGCCACCGACAGTCCTGTCATATTCATCGGGACAGGGGAACACATGGATGACTTTGAGGAGTTCAACACCCAATCATTTGTTTTACGCCTTTTAGGTACATAACTTGTATACTTCCCCCTTATTTGTATACGTGTATTCCAATTTCAATTCCTAGTACGTATTGTATTATATGATCGATATATAATATGATGATTTATTTATTTGGTTGCATTTATAGGTATGAATGAAATATTATTAATACTGAGAAAATTAAATTGAAGAAATGTATTAGTATAGAGAAGATAATTAATGAGAATAGTTGAAGAAATGAAATATACCATCAATGTTAACGCAAACAGATTCAACCATTATTGAAGTGATTTTCTTTAAACTAGCTTGGTTGTTTTCAAATTCTTGGCTAATTGATCGAAATGAGTAGCTCCTTTCTGGTGATAAGTTGAATTGATTTTGTGGGTTTCTGACCCTTTTTTTTTTTTTTTTTTTGAAAACTTGTGGGTTTCTGACTTTACTGGGTTTTAAGTATATAAAGACACGTTACAGCCGACATTAGTTAGGATTTTACTACCCTTTCTTTTTTTAAAAATAATAAAATGATTACTACTTTGTAACAAAATGAAATCAGTTGATCCTATTTTATTCAAAGAATAAGAAGAAAAAAAATAACGGCCAAATCTCTTGGTGATTTCTTTAAACCTCGTGTTCTATGTTACACACTCTACCCTTATTTGTTTGTTAGTTTAATTAAAGTTAATTGGTTAAGCAAGGCGCATGACAAGAAATTCTAAAGCAACTACTAGTACAAGATTATTATCTAATCTTGATCTACTTGTAGTGCCTTATTTTCATTTTTATCTTCCTCTAAAAAAAATAAAAAATTAAAAATTAAAAAAAAAAACTTAATGAGATGTATCGATTAGGTCAGTTATTAAGAAACGAAGAAAGTATAACATGAAATTCTAAACCTATAATAGCTAGTATTCTACTAGTAGTAATATATGACTTTATAAGCTCCATTGGTACTAAGTTAGGTTTAGATGGCACGTATGAAGTACTCATATTATTTTATACCAACATATTACTTCACTAGTTAAAACTTCTATATACCAATCCATATTGTAACTTTTTTAAAAGAAAACGAGTTAGAAAGCGAGTATAAGCGTATTAAATAAACTTGAGATATATATAGATTACTCCTTAAAATGCTTAATTATTAACGCTGTGTCTATCTCATATTGCATTATTAATACTTAATAGATTTCTTTTCTTTGAATAAGTTAGTTAATTATTTTATTTTTATTTATTTAATACAAACCAGGGCCTAAATGAGATATATCATTTTTCAATATGAAAAGCTCGTAGGGCTAACCGGAGATTCAAATATGAATCGAATCATTTATACGTCGTGCAAAAACTAATTAATTAATAGCTCAATTGTAAAACCTTATTAGCTTTCATCGTGTCTTTAAAACTTAATTACGCAATACCATTTTACTAGCGAAACTCCTAGAAAATAAAAAGGGTTAGCTTTAATTTGCATGCATGTTTTCCTTAATATACAATTGATTTTTTTTTTATTGGTATGTAATAAATAGCAACTAACATGATAATATCAATTTTAAATAACTTTTAATTAGTTTCCATATTCCAACATATAAATCCATTACATATATCATAATATTTTATGTACGAGCTTGAATCACTACATGTATATTTTATATCCAACAATTGTTTTGTGTAACAAAAAGGAAAATAGATGACTAAAATCACACACAAAAAAAGACATACGAAATGATCACGAGTTAACTAAGCTAATTGTGATTGCATTGCATATTATATACTATATATAGTATGATATATACCAAACACTAGTACAAGTACAATGCTCCTTATTTATTGGATAGCACGCAGTAACAAGAATCCCTTATTGTTTGTAATAGGCCTACTACTAACATAGAATAATAGAGTTTTGCTTCCTAATTAAAGACTACTAGAGTGTACCCGTGCAAAATGCATCGGATATATAAGAAAAAATATATTTAAAATATGGAAAATTGATCTTGATGTTGTAACTTATACTTGGGCTGCAATTGTCGGTTTTGGACTGGTCGACTCTGTTGAACCCTGCTTAGCTTTGCGCTAATGAGTATTAATAATCGAATTAAAAATGTGCACACTTGTTCTGTCGTGCTGACACCTGCTCTACATATGATATTCCCTGCTTTGCTTAAAAGCTCAAAAAACAGGGTCTTACTCTTTTATGTCGGTGGCCACGCAATGTAGCTAGCTATTATGGGGTATACTTTGTCAAAGTTATAGAGGTTACTCGTTTAGTGTTATAGGGGGTTACTCGGTTAGTGTCATATGGGTTAGTGTCTTGCTCTATGAGTTATATACTTTAATCTGTTGCAAATAGTTATGGTAGTTGCGCAAAAAACGTGTTGACTTTTTTTTTTTAATGATTAGAGAAGTGAAAATTGTTTAGAGGGTAGTCCCTAATAAAATGCATATAATTGAAGGAGTGGGGACACTACTAAAAATTATGGTTTTTGCGACCGCTTTTACCGGTCGCAAAAAATAGCAAAAACGGTCGCAATTCGTAATTGCAACCGTCAACGGTCATAAAGGGGTGGTCGTTATTTCCTTGGTCGCAAAAAAAATTATTACGACTGTTTGAGGGTCGCAGATTTATTGCGACCGTTTTTGTTATTTTCAACGACCGCAAGGGAAACGGTCGCAAATATTTATAATTGCGACCGGTAAAATAAACGGTCGCAATTTTGGAAATTAGCGATCGCTTTTGGCCGTCGCTAAAAGTTGAAAAAAAACAAAAAAAAAAAAAAGAAATTACGCACCACCCCTACTCTTCACAGCCACGCCCCCACCACTTCTCACACCCAACTCCACCCACTGCCCCTTCCCAGCCAACCACCTTTACCCACCACACAGCACACCTTAAAACACCACCCAATCACCACAAAAACCCCAGCCAGCCACCAAAGAAACCCCAGCCACCATGAAAACCCCAACCACCACGAAAACTAGCAAAAATCAACCCAAAACAAAGATAAAATCAACCCAAAAAAGCCAAAAAATCCAAACAAAAATTCAAACGAAAAAAAGACAAAATTCCAATGAATAAAACATGGAAATTCGAATTAAAACATGGAATTTCGAATTAATAAAAAAACATAGAAAATTCAAAGTAATTAACCACAAAATCGAAAATAAAACAATTATCAAACCATAATCAACCAAAAAAATCAAATTCGAAATAAAATTAACAAAAATCAACCCAAAAATCGAAACGAAAATCAAACATACATAGTAAAATTAACAAAAATAACAAAAACCAAACCCAAACATTAACAAAAAAATGAAAACAAAAATGAATCCCAAAATGAACAAAAATTAACATTCGAATACTGAAATTCGAACAAAAAAAAAAATTCGCATAAAAACTCAGACAAACAAGTATAAACACGATAACATACCTTAAACCTCGAGTTGACTTCGAATTTCACCTCAAATTTGGTTTAATAAGGCCAAATTCGACAATGAAAAGTCTAGATCTAGACTTTTCATGGTCTAATTTGACCTTAAAAACCATCAACTTGCTTAGCCATAAGATTGTGACGGTGGAGATAGTGGTGGTGGGCTAAAGCTTGACGATGGAGGTCATGGTGGTGACGGTTGGCGTCGGTTGAATGTTTGGACGATTTTCGATCTATTTCTTTGAAGTGTGTCTGATTTCCGGCAATAAAAGTCAATTAATAATGAAGGAGGAATGAAGGAGGAGAGGAGGAATGAAGGAGGAGAAGAGGAATGGCGAGAAGGAAAGAAGGAGCGAAGGAGGAGAGAGAAACAACTGTGAGAAGAGAGAGAGGAGAGAGAAAGAGAAAAGAGAGAAGGAGCGGCTGCTGAATGAGCGGAGGGTGAAGTAGTTAGGGTTTGTGAATAAGGTATGCTTTTATACCGTATTTTTTTAATTAAAAAAAAAGGGTCTTTTACGACCGTTTTGCCGGTCGCAAATTAAGATTATTTACGACCGTCTCTTTAACGGTCGCAGATTATGACATTTACGACCGTCTTTGCCGGTAGCAGATTATGATTATTTACGACCGTCTTTTTGACGGTCGCAGATTATGACATTTACGACTGTCAAAGACGGTCGCAGATTTTGACATTTACGACCGTCTCTTTGATGGTCGCAGATTATGTCATTTACGACCGTCAGAGACGGTCGCAGATTTTGACATTTACGACCGTCTCTTTGACGGTCGCAAATTATGTCATTTACGACCGTCAGAGACGGTCGCAGATTTTGACATTTACGACCGTCTCTTTGACGGTCGCAAACAATTTATTTTAATTTGGAATTATTTTTAATTGTTAAAACAGCCCTGCGACCGTCTAAAAGGCTAAAAACGGTCGTAAAACGGTCGCAAATTTGCGACCGTTGTCAAAGCAGTCGTAATATTGCGACCGCATAAAAAACGGTCGCAAAATATGAATTTTGCGACCGTTTTTCAGACGGTCGTAGAAAAACGGCCGCTTTTTAGCCGAATTTTAGTAGTGGGATTTAGAGTACTATAGTGAATTATTGATAAAGGAACTGTATACTCGTGCTAATGCATTACATATATTATACTATGTACTAAAAAATACTCGTAAAACAAAGTGAAATGTTTGGGATTTTGAGTGCTATAGTGAATTGTTGATGAAGGAACTGTATACTCGTGTTAATGCATGTCATATATTATACTACGTACCCAAAAAAAAGAAAAAAAAAGTGTAATGTTAGTAGTAGTTTCTTGAATAAAAACAAAAACAAAAAGGAAATATTGGATGGGTGGTTTTTTTTTTTTAAATGATAAAAAAAATTAAAATAAAGTTGTGTGATAGGTAGTTATTTTTTCTTAAAAAAAAAAAAAAAAAAAAAGTACACTTAAATGCATGAGAGTTGAGTATTGAGGTTTTGGAGGATTCTCGTGAAAACGACTCTGCAATTATATATTAGATTAGAGTGTACCTGTGCAAAATGCACGGGATATATATATCACATAGTAAGATATTAAAATAAATACAATGTAGGAAGTTTTTAT